TGTTAGTTTAGAATGTTTTTAGTCATTGGATAAATTTGGGGAGTTTATTGTGACAAGGCTGACAATGGTGTGCTGCCAAGGAGTTGGAGTGACTTGTCTTATTTGCTAAGGTTAGGCCCCAAGCACAACCAATGGGTGTTTATTAGAAGCACTGAACCCGTACCAATTTTCAGTTATGCCTTGGACATTGGACATAGATGGGCAAAACTAGAAAGTTACACATAACCCTAGACTTGATTATGGTATTGTACTAGGTGTTGGACTGGACTGTCTTTTATGTGCCAACCAATGAAATCCATTAAGGGTCAAATATTTGGGTAGTTTAAGAATTCACCTGAGTGGGTGATCATAGTGATATGATCGGCCCTTTTGTCGGACAAAGTGAATATCATGGTTTACACTCTCTCTAATGAAAACTTAAACTGTAGGTAGTGGATTTTACCTGTGTTTGAAATCTGGTTTTGCAAAATGTATATATATGTTATATACTACTATTTTATGAGAAGGTTTGAAAAAGGTTTTTAATCCCATGATCCATCTGAGTAGAGTGTGGCACTGCACCTTGCAGTTAGGGGAGAGGTCATTCCCTGTCGGGCAGTGTTTTTGATCATTATGAGCCGAGAGGTTAAGTGTAAGAGACCATTACAAGATTGATTATCTAATGGGCTTTATCTTATATGAGTCAATTATCCTTGGGTCTTCATAGGGTCGCTGAACCCAATGACCATTTAGGTATAAATGTTGGGCCCAAACTGGACCAATGCTGATTGAGTCAGGGGTTCATTGTCCTGAGTAGCGAATTCGGCATAGCCTCTTTCAAAGGTTGCGCCGAACCCATATGGGCTTGTGTGGTCCCACGCCATACAATGTCGGGTCTAAAGTGGTCATGCAACACCTCGGGTCATCATCCTTTGAAATAAATGGGCCTAAGGCCCAAAATTAATAAGATTAATTAAGTTGTCATGTGCTTTGGATCAAATTTGGGTTTGGTGTTGGGTATAGAGCATCTATCCTTTTAAAATGATAAGATTTATCTCTTAATAGAGTCTAGATCAAAATCAGATTTGGATAATCTCCTAATTAGATTAGGAGAGTGTTCCATAAGGAGATAAAAGAGAAGAGGGCAAACTAGGTCAGGAGTCTTCACACTCTTGCTCTTTCTTCCTCTCTCTTGTCTTCTAAGAAACCCTAATTTGACCTAGGCTTTCAAGAACTGATTTTAATAAGTTTTTCTTCAAGTTGTTGCAAGAAAAACATTGAGGAAGATCAGACTCACTCACCCATTCGATCCAAGAAAGTTGGATAGTAGTTTTGGAGAAAATAGTGTTGCTGAACTGACTTCACCTATACACTGTGCCATCTTCAATGGAGGCTAGTTTTAGGAGTGATTTGGGCGTGAACTTCCACCTTGGGATTTACTTTTGTGGTATCCTTATCAGGTATAATTTTCCCTTGTGATTTGGTTTCAAATCTGGTCCGATTCAGTGCTAGATCAATTCGAAAAAAATATAGTTTTTCAAAACATCGAGAAATCAATCCCCAGAAGGGTTAGAACATTTTTGAAATTTCACCCAACCATGTAGCATGATTCGGCCATCCGTAAGATGGATTCTAACCCTTCCAACAGAAATTACACTTCACAGACTTTAAAAGAGTAGGGAATAGAACAAAAATTGCACCTGATAACTTCTGATAACTTTAAAAGAGTAAGGGATAAAACATAAACTATAGTTCTTTAGAACAAGGTTCAAAATTTTGATACGTATCGAGGCCTTCCCGATACGCCCCTACAGGGGGTGTTTCGGGTTAGGCAGTGGTTCAGGGGATAGACGAGGCCTTAAATTGACCCCCTGAACCAGATTTGAAAAAAAAAAGAGAAACGGGCACCGATACAGGCTGATACACCCTACTGGCATATCGACCTTGAACCTTGCTTCAGAACTCATGCATTTTTGTTGTTGTTTGTTTCAAAATGTTGGAAAAATGCAAAAGATAAGAGAGGGGGTTTGTGGTTAGGTTGAGGTAATAACAAAGGAAGGGGTAGCAGGAGTTGAAGAATATAGCAAAAGAGGGAGAACAAGGGTGACCAAAGATGATGGTCTCACCATAAAAATAGAGTTTGATTGTGTGGAAACCTTTTGAACCTAATGTTAGAGTTGAGTTAGTTGCCTTAAAAACGACTCCGGTACTGCTAATTTATTCCAAGTGAGGAGTTGAGTCGTTATAACAGAATGAAGGCATGTGTTGGGAGTGTCGTCTAGCATTTCCCTTCAATCCATACATGGTTACAGATATTGTCCCTTTTGTTTGCTCTACACCATAGTTGAAGAAAGATTATCAAATCAAAACTTAATACTCCTTGCATGCATCATCAATAATTTATATTTCTCTTGAATTTTATAATTTTTCTTTGGAAATTGTAGATAGATTATGTAGATTCCTTTATTATAGCATGGATGATGGCAAAAAACTCTATTAAACCCAATGCTCCATCACTCCATGTTATGTAAACATGATCTCAAATCTTCTTAATCTTAGGTATGTGAATATGATCCATGCTGTCGGTTTATATGTTTAAGCCGTTGATTTAAGTTCTAAGAACACTGCAAACATGATCTCAGATCCATGTGGAAGACTAAATCTTCTTAATCTCAGATTTGAACATGAAGCACAGGAGTGGGGCTTTTTGCAATGGAAAAACGGTCAACCACAAACAAATCAAAGCTATTTGGTTTTAACAAAAATTGATATTAAATGGTCCAAAATAACCAAATCTTGAGAAGAAGAGTTAAGTAAAAAGAATAAGATAATTACCTCTAGTTGTAGAAGAATGATGGAAATCTAGCGTCGTTTATATGCATGTGGGAGCATAGCACTTGCTCTTGTGCTGCTAAGGTCAGAAATCTCACGTCACCGTGGTCGGAAAGGAGAGATGGGAACTTACCATTGGCATGAGTTTAGCAACAATGGCAAAACACTCACTCAAAACGACACACAATCATCTTGCTTGGTTACCCTCTCGATCAATGAATGCAAATAGATGAGCAGTATGAATAGCAAGAGAGACTTTTTATGAGAGAGAGAGAGAGTTAAGATAAGGTAAGTTATATGTTTGGTAAATAAAGAAAAGCAGGTGACACATGAAAGACATTTTTGCCCTTTCATATGCCACTTAACTTTAATTAACAATTTTAGATTAAACTAATAAATTTCAAAGTTCAAGTACTGCATTGACACATTTTGAAATTAAGGTATTAAAATGAGATTAGCCCCACAAAGTATGCAATTTACCCTTATATTTAATACGGACTTACACATGTATATGGTCTTACACCAAGTGTTGCACCATATATGCTTGGGGAGCCAACTAATTAGAAGTTAGAAGTTGATTCCAAATAGCCTCTACACCATAGAGCTCTAAAGCTCTCCTTTTTTATCTTAACTTGTTCTAACCTAATGGTCTGTTTGGTTGCTGAGAAGGGGATGGGAAGAATGTTTAGGGAATATTCTAGTTTTCTTGTGTTTGTTTTGAGGAAAACACTGGGGTGGGACGAGAAAGAAATGTGATGTGGGTTCTCACAATTCTTTGTGTGGTACGACYCCACTGAGAAGGGAAAGTTAGTGAGAGAACTTTGTCGAGAGCGTCGGCACCATCTCTGGCAACTTCTTTGCGATTTCCATTTGTTTTGGTACCATTTTTATCTCCTTTCATTGAGTGAGTTTCCATTCGAATCTTGCCGTCTTCTACCTCTATCCCTGTTCGTCTAGACGAACCTCCATTGCCAGAAAGCACCTGAACTGCTATTCGAGGTGTTCATTTGAATGGCAGAGCTCCAGATCTGGCTTTCGACGTTTGCCTCGTCCAGATTTGGTGTTTTCCTTGTACCAAAATGTTCCAATCTCTACCAACTTGTTCTGGTATGGCGTCTGCCATTTTTGGTACCATTTTTCTGGCTTCCGAGTGCCGACATTTTGTTATTTCAATTCCAACTTCCGTATCTTTGCGTTTAGAGATCAATCTCTACCGTTTTTGTGTTGTATTGTTGATAAATTTTGGCATTTTATTATATTGATATACATTTATTTATATTTATTTCTAGGCCAACCACCGAGGTTTCAACAGTTTTTTTTTTTTTCTTCTATTGATTCTTTTCTTTTTAATGAATATAACTTAATACTCTAAGCATGTATCTGTATTTATTTTTTTTCATGGAGATTCTTATCAACCAAACGCTGGAAGCAGATTCTATCGGATGGTGGGTCTCAGGCTCTCAACAAATAAGCACAATGACCAAAAATGAGAAAATAAAATTTTCCCTTCCCATTCCATCCCTTCTCATCCCACTGTTTCCTGATAACCAAACGGACCATAAGGGATGCAAAAACTCTAGGGAGTGAATGCCTGTTTGGATGGGTTTTAACACAATGGCTTCTGGTGTTGTAAGGTAGTCCTCACACCCAAGGTTCAAAGTATCGATACGATCGCATTTCAGCCGTATCGTATCAGTACTTAGAAACGGCCGAAACACCTTTTTTTTTTAAGTTTTTTTTTCAAAGTTTGATTTTTTGAGAAGCTTAAAACATGTTTTTTATTATTAAAAAAGTTGAGGGTACAAAACACCTGGAAACAAGCGTTTCAGACCATATCGGGCGTATCGTATCAATACTTTAAATCATGCTCACACCGTCACACGTAAAACCTTGAAATCATGTTAGGTGAAAAACCCATAAAGCCAAAAATACATTTGGATGAGTTGAAAAAATGATTTTTCCAATGAATACGTCATGAATCTATTTTTGCATTGGCAGAAAAATTGTCAGCAACACATTTACTACATCAGTGAGAAGAAGAAGAGACTCGTTTGGACTTGACCTATAGTTAATAAATGATGTTGCAGGGTCAAAGCTTATTTTGCCTCCATGACGTATTACGCAGCATAAAACTCCCGAGACCCGTAGAATGTGAAAATCATTCCTTCACCAAGACAATGCCGACCTTCTCAACAGAAACTTAAATCACACTGATCTCTGATGATACTGTTGATCCATACTGTTGATCTAATCAAAAGATGATTAGACATGACGAAACAAAATGAAAATGGGCTGAATGGCCGATGAGAAAAATACACTAACAAAGCTTAAAGAAACCTGTTAGGGACCTGTACACTTGAATAATCATTCTTGTATCAATGATATGGATACATATTATACAAATTTACCTTCTCAATGCTCACCATGGAGATCTTGATAGCCAAAACACAGAAGGAAGAAATGAATAAAAAACATTTTTTTCCTTGTGGAAGTGACAAAAAGGTGGACCATAATTGCCAAATTGCAGAAAGTGGTGGCCATGCTGATTCTCTAATGTTTCCTTCCCCCCTGCAAGATTTCTGGGTTTACTGGTTGTCCTTTTGTATCTCGCCTGACACATGATCTAGTAGGCACCTGAAGTTATGAACGAGATCGCCATAGATGAAGCTCCATGACAGAACACCATCCATTACCAACAATTTAAACTCTGCCAAGTGTTTTTAAGCAACCCATTGAGCCCTATCTTGAGACCTTATACAGTCGGCTGACATGGAAATTTTCACATGCAACTTTGGAGTGATAGAGTGAATTAAGGAAATTTAATCTTTTGTATATGCATCTGCGTAATCCTTGATTCTCTGCTTGAGATGCTGTTGAAAGAAATATAATGTGCATCACTAGCCAATAGATAAAATAAAAAGAACCTAGAATAGGAAAAGGATGACAACTTGAAATAAGAAGGTAACACTGGCATAATTAATTACGTTCAGTTCTTCATGAAGCACGATGAATATCTTCTTCAGTTGCTTATGTCTCTGCATAAGTTAGAGTCCCCAATTAATTTATTGATTTGGAAACAAGAAAAGAAAAAAAAAAAGACTACACACAATCAAAACTAGCAATTTAAAATGGTGCAAACATGAACTACCATTCCACACTGACGATACATTTCTCTTAATTGCTCCAAGATGTTATAATATCCTTCCACATCCCTTCCCCTTGCAAGTTCAAGGTCATGTCCAAGTTTCTGGAAGTCATTCCTGCATAGTTGTTTCACATGATTGGTTGAACAAATTTACCATGTTACGGAAGAAATTATGGGCTGCAAGCATGTAATAGTATCACCAAACGAGGGGGGGGGGGAGTCCTAATATAATACCTGTAAGCCTCCAAGCTCTTGTTCAAGGAGCAATAAGTACCATATTTCTCACGATACTCTTGCACATATTCCTTGTATCTGTAACATGCACACAAGAATAATCAGCAAAATATTTTGAGCCTGTCCAAAATCAACTGAATATACAATGTCATCAAGGGAAAATGATAAGTTATATGCAACCAATTAGGGAAGTTACTCACTGTGAGAAATCCTTTATTGGACCTCTGAGCTCTGGTTCATCTTTTTCATACTTGGAATAAGAACAACTATCCTCATCAGAAGAAGATTCTCTCCTCCTGTGACTATTATTGGTTCCAAGCCAGAAATCATCCTTTCTTCTTTCAGTGATATCACTTGCAGCATTAGATCTTTGGGATTTAGTTTCTTTCACAATGTCACGAGCTAATGTCTGGCCTGCACCTTTACCATCACGCTGCTGTGATACACTGATAGGAGCCTTCTTATTAGTGCTTCCATAACCTTCGACACCGATGACCTGGTTCGTTGGTGTCTCATTCTTCCTAGACTTACTACCCATGTCTACTGTCTTACTGAACTGCAACCCAACTTCAGAGTCATCAGCATTTACTCTGGAAAACTGCTGTGCCTGTGAAGGCACAACCTTCTGATGAGGCCTCATTGATTCAATATCATCTTCTGGAGTCCTCTTCCTAGATGAGCTATCTTGGTTATTGAAAACGTTAGCTCTCATGTTTGGTGGTGACTGCTTTCTTGATTCTTGAATTGCTTTTGCTGCAGTTCTTCCTTTACTTGAATCTGAAGTCCAGTTATCTGATGCATTTTGTTTACTATCTGATAGTTTGAATGAACCTTTTCTCTCAAACTGCTTCTTAACCCCCTTGGCTTCCTCACCAGGTATGGGCTCACGAAGTTCACCCAGCTCCAAGTCTGAATACTCTCGTCTCAGCATATTACTTTTCCCATTAACTACCGGAGATTTGTCCGCATCACTTCTATTGTTATCCTTGGGAGAAGAGTCCATTTGCGAGTATGCCATATGCCCATCCTTGAAYTTTCTGATCTGTTCTCCATGCCTTCTATAATGTGAATCAGAGAGCATTGGGGCTTTGTCTCCATAACCACTCTCCTTCCCACCTTTTGTCTGTGATTTCTCATAGGCATAACTGTCTCCACCTTGTGTTTCTCTATGAACTTTATCTTTCGATATGGGGGAAATTCCATGTGGACGCATGCTCCCCATGACAGAAACTTCTGATTCATCTGCAAAAGCAGAACTCTTTTCAGAAAGTTTAGCACCTCGGCCCAAGTTCTCAACATATCTGCTGGGTTTATCTGACATGTCTGGAGTCTTCCCCCTGGCACTAAGATCAGCAGATCTTTGACCTGGCTTTTGGATGTCAACAACAGATCTTCCAGTTGTTTGGTTGTATCCTTTCTGTGAGCGAGTATCTAAATTTCCATCCCTGCCCACTCTCTCAGTTGTCCTTACAGCTTGGTCCTTATATGGGGCTTGGCTAAACCTATCAGGAGAAGAGTCATTTGGGCTCCCTGAGAAAACTGTCTCCTTATTCCTCATGGAGATTGGTGGTTGAGATGAACCTCCTGCTTTAGCCCTTCCAGCAGTTTCAGATTTCTCATGGAAATTCTTTGTGTCAGAACCTCTTTTAGATTTGACTTTGGATATTCTCTCTGAGCTGTCAGACTGCTCATTCCCCAAGTCATCCTTCATTGCACCTTCTCTTTCATCATCATGGTGCACATAATGAGAGAACTGTTGGGTCTCCTGTTTCTTATCACGGGACACTGGAAAGGGAATAGTCTCTTCTAAAGATCCTGGCTCCACTTTGCTAGGAACTGGATCAGTGATCTCAATTATTTCATTTTCATGATCATCAATGGTTATATCTTCATCAGACATGTTCCCATCCTGTTTAGCTTCAACAATGCCATTTTCTCCTGGTAGGCTAGATGTTCCTGCTTGAATGGGGGAGGTAGGGAACATGGGTTCATGGGTTGGCAATTTATGTTCAACTTCTTTGTCATCATCACTAGTCATAATATCGACATCAACATCAGATCCCTCCTTGCTGCTAGAAGAACCATCACTTTCACTATCACTGCTGCTCCCACTCCCACTTCCTCCTGGGCTTCTGCTTTTGCTTCTGCTTCTACTCTGGCTTCCGCTGTCACTACTGTCACTACTATCACTTTCACTATCGCTATCACTTCCACTATCACTAGAGCTGCCTGCCTGCCCTTCACTGTTGTCAGACAGCTTTTTATCACCAAAGAGATCTGGAGAGTTTTGTGGAATATCAATTTTCTCCACCAAATTTGATTCTATTTTTGGGATCAATTGGCTTTGCTGCTCTGGTTCCTTAGTTCCACTTTTATCTGGAAAGTCTGGGTCTGGAGAATGTGTGCACTCAGGGGAACTGGACGAAAAAAAAAAAAAAAAAATGAACCAGTCATTAAAGCAAAGATAATATCAAATAATCCCATAGAGATAGTTCTAGATATTTTCTGAAGATGAAACTTATATGAAGATTTTTTCTCATGAAATATTTTAAAATACAGTTTTTACGTTTAGAAGCTTCTGCCACATTTTTGTATTTGGAATTTCTGGACACTGGATTTGCCCCATAAAGACGTCGTGATTAATTTAAGAGAAATGAATGATAGAAGTAAATGTTACCAAACATCAAGTTCTTGCAAGTTAACAGAATAATTGAGTGTCTTACAACAACTCAGGGAGGGAGAAAGTAGGGGTAATACATCAAGAAATTATAAGATTTATAGCCCAAGAAAATCAGAAATGCCAGAGCTCTTGGGCTTTGACATAACAGAAGATTTTAACATGAAACTTGAGCATAAAAGACCACATAGATTACACCAGTATAAAAGGTTTATCCATACAAGATTTCTGCCCATCTGTTTATACACTGCCCACTCAGCTCCCAAACTGTAAGATCATTTTCTTTGTTAAGCGGGGTGTTTCCTAAAACTTCCACAGAGACCCTCCTCAGCTGGCATGTCAATGGACCGAGTAAAAACGATAAAATAGCTTGGTGTCTAATTCCAGCAGCCATATATTGGACCATCTAAATGGAGAGGAACCTCAGAATTTTCAAGAACATTAAAACTCAAGATGATGAAATCCTTGGGAAAGCTGTGGCAAAGACCTTTTCATGGCTCTTGGCTCTCTTGAAGAATTTCATAACATCCATGCATCTCACTTTTTTGACCCCAGTAACTTGTTTAAGATGTAATTGATTTTTGTATTTCCGTTTTTTTTTTTTTTTTTTTTTGTACAGCCAGTCTATATGGGTTAGTTAGACCTGTTCACGGGCCAGGCTTTGGGCTCATCTTTACACTGTTTCAGGCTCAGGCTTCAGGCTGGGGCTGATTCAAGTTTTGGCAAAAGCTAAGCCTGAGCCTGGCCCATGAACAGGTCTAATAGGGGTAGCCTTCTCCACTCTTGCATTATAGTTTCAGATTAATGAACATATCACACATAATCCATTCTCAACAAATAAATAAATAAAGTATTAAGAATAAATGTAAGTAAAAGTGCTGCTACACTTCACCTTTAAATCACATTTATAATCCTCAGAAATACCTAACCTAGCACTTTTCCATTTTTTTTGGATCAATATAGCACCTTTCATTCTCCCCTTGTTTACTACACAAGGAGAGTTATTGTCACAAATGTTGTAAAACATTACATGACCTACCCTTCTTACAAGTTCTTGCCATTACTTGCTTTGTTTTCTGTCTTTTGAGCCAGCTAACTTGTTCCACGTGTTGTCTACACCTATCTAGCCAGTAAATAAGGGAAAAATGGTACAGTTTTTTTTTTTTTTTGAGAAAAAAGGGAAGGTAATTTCATTCATGTGTTACTCTAAACATATACAAGTATGCTTCATGTATGCAAGTAGTCTACACATGACGCTAAAGGATGCACAGTAAACATTCCAAGGATCAGTCTTTTGCACTACTTTTGCACTACAAAAAAGTTAGATATGCAGCAGTTTTAACCGAACAGAATTGAGTGATCAAAATACTCATGAAGGGAGATTCCTTTGAACATCTCATGAACTGAGAACCAGGAGTGCAATGTTGCAACAGCCCACTTAATCTCTTCAGACGCAGCTTTAGCTCTATTATCAAATAATCTGCTGTTCTCCCGTTCTCCGTCCACACCACCCACATCATCACCAGAGGGATTATGCTCCACAAGATCCTAACCCCTTGGTGAGTCCCTGCAGCTTCTGGCTACTAACATGCTCCCTAACTGATCTGGGATAGCATCAACAGCAGTTCACTATGCTGCAAAAAAACGTCCAAATGTTCCTAATCCAATGAAAAGGTGATCAACAGACTCAGAGTAGGAGCCACTGAGAAAGCACTCCAAAGAGTTTTGATGTCTCTATGCATCAGATTCCTTTAGGAGAGTCTTCCCCAGCACAGCAATCCACACAAGGAAATTTACTTTTGATGGGGCATGGAGTAACCAAACCTCGCTACAAGAGAAATCAGCAGCTGCATGTACCAACAAACTACTGTAGAATGATTTGACAGAGCAGACTCCATCTTCAGTCCACCTCCAACATCTTTCATCCTCCCATTCTTGGAAGGTCTAAATCTCCACAACAGTGAGAGGAGCCTAAGAAGGTTCTCAATCTCTCAATCATTTAACTACCTTCCAAAGGATGGGCATACCATCAAATTTCCATGCACCGAATCTGGTTAGCCACTAGAACCTCCCTACCTTCTGCAACGAGAAATAATGATGGGAATGCCTCTATAGGTACGACCCACGGGTGGCCAGTGCTTTTGGCGGGCCGGGCCATGCTTGCTACTTCTTGGATACTTCAGATGTCTGGCCCGGCACAGTCCATGGCATGGGCCCGGGCCATGCCATGCCATGCCATGGGCCAAGCCTTGGGTTAGACCAGGCCAAGCCATGAGAGGTATATTTAAAAAAAAATTGAAAAAAATAATGAAGATTTTATTTTATATGAGAGATATATTTAAAATAAATGAACAAAATAGACAAAAGAAATTGAAAAAAAGTCTTAAAATTTTATTTTATATGAAATTTGATGTATACAATTGGAGTATATATATATATATATATAGACTGGGTTGGGCCGTGCCACGTGCCAGCCTGTGGGCCTGAAAACTCAAGCCCAACACCAGTCCATACCATCGTGTCAGGCTGCGGGTGGCACAACCCGATTTACAGCTCTAAATGTCTCCATTAAAGGTCTGTCCCCACACCAACTATCCAACGAGAATCTGACCCACACCCCGTTCCCCAACCCTGTACCTCTAATGAACTTTCTCTATTCCCTTCCACACCGAGTAGCCAAAGCCACAAGACATTCCTTGTGCCAGGGTACTGGAGATGCTGGTGCCAAACTTTTTGGTTATTATATTTCTCCACATACCATGTGGGGAGGTATTAAACAGACAATGCAACTGGCCCAGGAGAGCAGTATTGAACTGCTGGAGTCTCCTAATACCTAGGCCCCTGGCCTCCTAGGAACTACACACCAGACTCCAGTCCACCTGATGGATTTTCTGGTTTCCTTTCCAACCCATCATAAGAAGTCCCTTTCCAGCTTTTCTAGTCTGTCTTCTGCAGCAACCAAAATAGGAAGCAAGGACATAAAATATTTTGGGAGATGTGAGAGAGTTCCTTTGATGAGGGTTATCCTAGCACTTAGGAGAGGTACTTCACCTTCCAAGCTGATAATCTCATATTAATCTTTCCAATAACTGTACCCCAGATGGCTTTGGAGGTACATTTTGCACCAATATGCAGCCCCTAATACCTTGTTGGAAGACTTTCAGTTCTGAACCCAAATGTATTTGCAAGCTTGAATTAGTTCAATACTTCCCTCGCAGGAATATCATCACTTTTGTTGTAGTTGATTTTCAGAACTAAGATAACCTCAAACCATTCAATCAGTATCCAGAGATAGCTAATCTCTGCTAAGATAAAGAATATCATCAGCATAATGAAGCAAGGGCACATTACCTTCTGAATTGCTCACCTGACAATCATCAACAAAGCCTCCCTCTAAAGCCCTCATGGTCATCCTGGAGACTGCCTCCAACACACATATGGATAATTGCAGTGAGAAATCTCCCTGCTAGAGCCCTGTCAAGCTATTGAAGAAACCTGAAGATGAACCATTTATCAAGCAAGCAAATTTGGGTGTGCCAAACATATCTTGACCCAATTCCACCACAAAGACCTAAAGTTCATTCTTTTGAGAATGTAGTCCAAAAAAGACCAATTGGTGTGATCATAAGCTTTTGTTAAGTAATCCTTGCATAGGACCCCCGGCCTTCTTCTCTTGATTCTAGAACCTATAAGCTCATTAGTCACTAGAACTCCTTCAAGCATAAATCTTTCTGGTACAAATGCCCCATGTGTATTTGAGATAATGCATGGAAGCACCTTATTCATTTGGTTTGCTAGGACCTTTGCCAAGATCTAGTAGAAGCTGCCAACAAGACTGGTTAGCCTAAACTCAGCAAGCTACCTTCCCCCTCCTTTCTTAGACACAAATTTGAAATGTACTATTCAAACTTCTTTCCAGCACAACCTAGTCACGGGGCTTTGCATTGCTCTCATGAAGTCTTTTTTTACGAATAGCCAACGTTTCTTGTAAAATAGCACAGTGAAGCCATCGTGGCCAAGATTCTGATATTCAAAAATTGCATATTGCATGATTCAAAGGGGCAATACACTTGGGAAACACACACACAAAAAAAAAAAAATCAACTTTTGAAAGTTCACCCAGGCCATTTCTAGGAAGGGTATTACCCTTCAAAAGTGGCTAAATGTCCCAACTCTCAAGATTTAGTGTACTGAAAACTGAAACAATATGCCCGATATGCTCTGTATTGTATCCATACTTTGAATCTTCATCATGGCCCAAGGCCGTCTCCCCCTCAAACTTTGATCTCTGCCTGTACTCCTTGTACAGATTCTTGTAATAGCTTACCACTTCTTTTTTAAGTTCTCCCTCATCTACCACCACCCTTCCCTCAATTTCCAGCTGCTTTGTCGAATTTTACCTCCTAAAGTTAGCCATCTGATTGAAAAACCTGTTTCTATCATGAGCGTTGAGCCAAACAATTCTAGGCCACTGTCTCCATTTAAGTTCCTCTTGATAAGCTACTTTATCATAGCTTTACTTAGCCTCTTCTCTCTGCCTTCTTTTTTTGACCACCAACACAGAATTGATTTTATTAATAAAAATCAGGCATGAATACAACAAGAGGTTGTGAAAAAGGAAAAAACACAGCTGTAGAAAAGCTGACCCAATCCAAAATTACAATTGATCCCAAAACAATTGAATTCTTTGTACCCAATGCTTAGCTAGACCATTTGCCAACTCTTGGCAGTTCTTCTTAC